ACATGCACTTTTACAAGAGAATAGCCAGTGCATTTTCACAGATACACCAACTGAGCAAGTCCTTAATCCATTACTAGTTGGCCAAATTTGCCAAATATAGTGTGGTATATGAAGTCCCATAGATGAAAGCTTCATAGTAAGCAGGTTGTGCTGATCTCTCACACCAGTTCCCACAAATCTGGACTACACTTCCCTATGCAACCACCAACCACTACAGAACTGCTACAGTCATGGCTGATGGAGAGATTGGTTTCCAGTTATCCCCTTGAAAACTGAAGTGCTTCATCTACAGAAGTCATACAGATACAATGTAAGTTGATTTCCACATTCTCTCATCAATGTGCCTCAAAACTTGTACAGGAGAGACTCCTCCTCTCAAAGGAAGGGTTAGCTGGGTTTCCAAAAGCTTAAATTTGGGGAGGGAGGCAGGAAGCAAGCAGACATGAAGTCTGAGGGGGTGCCAGAATAGCAGCCCCCAGGGAACCTGTGCTGCTGCTGCCACTTCAGCTCCTGTTTAAAGAGCTTGTGCAAAGGTGGCAGTAGCCCATGCCACTACAACCATGGCAGCCCCTGGGAGGGAAGCACACGCTCTCCTGCCTCATGCCCTACACCAAATACAGCATCAAAATTTAAGTTACCCATCTGTCAGTCTTCAGGCTCATACATTTTTTGATGACCTCATTAGTGCTGCTTTGAAAAAAACAACTCATTTCACCTAGATCAACAAATAACCATTGTTTGATAACAATAAGTATTCACTAACTTAAGTATCTACTAGCTGCCACCCAAGACCAGATCCCACTAGTGACTATAAGGTGACTTTTCCTATCACTTCATCCAGTCTTTAGCTTTAAACTCTTCCATTTGAAACAAGTAAATATAGCCTTACCATAGCCAATTTTTCTCCATAGTTTACTGGTACACATTTTTGCCCTTGCTCTAAAACTGTTGGACGAAGATCTGCCTTGTTTCCCACCATCATGATCGGAATATTTTCACCAGTTGCATCCTGCAAGAAATACGTATTTTCTTTACCACTGGAATCCTCAAAATACAAAAATCATCCAATAAACTGGCATTTACTGGATCACATAATCATATTACCTCCACCCACCAAAAGTAAAATCTATAGATACTGTAACATTGATATAAGACAACTAAAAACAAAATATCCAGTCTTGCACACTTTCTGCATAAGAGTCTGTACCTTCAGATAACTAATATAATAGTGAGCCTATCAAAAACTGAATGCATTTATGTTGCACAGTAGGGGTATCTTATAGAAATTAACATTGTTGTTTTTTCTATATTATATAATACAATTATGCTAGAAACAGACTACTTTTATGATGATCACTTCCTGCTATTAAATATCTTCAGCTGAAGGAAGGAAGCCCTTTTCATTAAATACAAATTGTTATTCAGGTAAAAGTAAACACAAGAGAAATATACAAGATAACAAAAAGCAATATGAGAAAACACTGCTGTGCATTACAGCAATGATGGCTAGTCTGGAGGATGTATTGTATTTTCTAGTGTGCAGAGGCCCCAGAGTACATTAAGCCCATCCACAATAAGGTATCTGAAATTAGTTAAAGAGAACATCATGAAAATGGTGCTGATTACATGGCGTGTTCTAACACCAAACACTACAGCTGGCCAATTTAAATGGGAGAAAACTAGTTTACACTAACTAAAATTTCATACCTTTTACCTTGAAGACAACGTACAATTAATGTGTGTAATTAGTAGAAACTGGAGTTTGGCCAATTCTGCAACATAATCTGTTTAATTCAGATTTAAAAACACGAAAAGTCTCTCAAAAAGGGCTCTGTGGTTCTCCCACGAGAAATGCCAATGATAAACATTTCACAACTACACTATAAAATGAACCTTGCCAATTTTGTAAATTTTAAGTTCTTACCGCAATCATATCCACCCATTCTCGTACATTAAGAAAACTTTTTTCACATGTCACATCGTACAACAGTAGCACTCCATCTGCTCTTCTAAAGTATGATTTAGCAATACTCCGGAATCTTTTAGGAAAAAAAGATCCATTTAAAACAACATTTTAAAAAAAAAAGTTCATATACAATACCATTAAAAATGAATTGTTAGGGCACTAGCCTGTTCTCCTACTCATGCCTCCTGCCTACACCAGGTGTGGCAAAATTGCACATTATGCTGATTTCACAGAAAGGTTTCTGCGAATTATCTATGCGTTTCTATAAACATTCCATTACCACCTGAAGGACTTCATAGTAATAACCACCAACATTCTTCAGTAAACAGTACTTTATGACTGTTGGAAGACGGGTGATTTGCATTAGATTTTGGATGACATGGTTGTATGTGTATGCTCTTGCAAATGCAATACAAAAATATGAAGCCAATGGAGTTACGCTAGTCTCTCACTCTAATGCGACCTTCCTTCTTCATAAGCATAATGTAACCTGCTCAGAAACTAAGAACTAGAATGTGATTTTCAGAACACAATTGAGATGTATCATAAACTTGCCATGCTGACAAAGCAATGCTGCCTCCTAAACAGTCTGGCTCTCTGTACTGCAGGAACTTTAAGGATTTTATGGCATTTAAACAACTAAACAACTAATTAGCAGATCCTTTTATGGGAACTCAGCAATTTGGGCAAGTTTGCTATGCTCTGCTTAAAGCCTGTGGATACCACAAAGGAGACAATTCATCATGCTCAACAGGAACTGGCATTTAAAGACCTTAATGGAAGATGAAGATGCAATCAGAATGTGAAACAGTTATTATTTTTCTTCCACTTTAAAGAAGAAAAACAAGGCCAAAAACCATTGCAAAATCTTCAATAAGAAATAAACCTATTCAAATCTATATCCTAGATAAGTTGTGTACTACTAACCTCTCTTGTCCTGCTGTATCCCACAGCTGTAGCACCGTAGGCTCTCCATCAACAATAAGCCTTTTCATTTGAAAATCAACTCCTTAAAAGAAATAATGTGCAGAACCGGTCAATACTGGCTTTTATTTAAAAAAATCATTAATACAATTACCAATACCATTTCAATGGTAGGATGGTATTTCAAATAGCATGACAAAACAGATTATTTCAAAATACATCTCATCTAGTACATTATGAGAGAGATTCCGGGAGTTCAAGCATCCATGAAATGCAGAATCACTCCCAAAAATATATCACAAGGCATGTGTTTTTGGTGAAAAAACCCTATGCATCTTTTACTGTGGAATTTACTCCGGTATGCTGATTCAAATTTGAGAATCTAAATGCTCCCCTTGTGCTATATCATAAAAGCATTTTATGGAAGGAAAGAAAATGTTTTGCACAGTAGATCTCATTTCAAACAACAAGGGAGCAAAGAAGGCAAAAACAAAACAACTTACAGAAAATCAAAACAACGAATAAACAACACCCCTTTGACATCCAAAACACACACACAAATGACTGAGCTGGAAGAAAAGAATTTTAGCTTTAGGCTCAATGGAAAAATCTCACTAGTTCATAGGTGCAAGAATATATATATAAGAATGTTGAGACCTTTATGCTTGCTAAAATCCCTTCAATCTTATTTGAATCAATGCTGATCCCAGTTTTAACAATTTAAAGAAGCGAGGAACAAGAGGGAATACAAACACAGGAGGGAAAAGGAACATAAAGACAGGAGAAGAATAACAGCACTAGGAAACAAACAAACACACAAACAAACAAAGGATTTTGTAGGCAAATCCAAGACTCTGATGCTGATGGCCCCATTCTTTTAGCATAACATGTTCAATCTCCATATTCTTCAATAGTTCAGTGTCTACATCCATGAAGTGGTTCATTTTCCCAAGCCCATCAGGAAATTCCTATCAATAAGCTTTACACCCTACATCAGGGGTCAGCAATCCCCGGCACGTGTGCCAAGCTCAGCACGCAAGGCCATTTTGCTCAGCACACCACTGCCAGCCTGGGCTCTAGGCAGCTGCTGCCAGCCACAAAGCCCAGGCTGCTCCCATCAGGAGGCTGAGAAGATGCAAGCCCTGCTGCAAGCAAACCAGGCTCCATGGTCAGCAGCAGCTATCCAGAGCCTAGGCCGGCTGACTGCAAACATCTGCTCTGGCATCAGCTCCATACCGGCAAGTGCACGCACTCTTCAGAGTGGATGGTGTGGGAGGGACCTTAGGCAGCGTGACCCCAGCCTCTTCCCTGCTGCCAGCATATTGCTGGAGCCCAGCGCAGCTGTTTATAGCTGGCCTGGGGCATCTGCAGCAGGCAGCGGGCAGGCTGCAAGCAGCTGCACTGGGCTCCACAGCTCCAGCATCAGCTCCATGCTGGCAGCAACTGCACGTGCACCTCAGAATGGACTACGGGACAGCTGTGCTGCCTCAGGCCCTATCCCCACCATCCGCTCTGAGAAGTGCATGCACCTGCTGGTATGGAGCTGATGCCAGAGCCCAGAGCAGCTGTTTGCAGCCTCCCGGCTGCAGCCGGCCCAGGCTCTGGTAGCTGCTACCAACCACAGAGCCTAGGCTGCTTGCAGCAGGGCTTGCAGCTGAGCCACCCTGACTCCCACCTGTTCTGAGCCCAGCCCTGACCCAGCCCCCCACCAAGATGAGGCTGGCGCTGCCCCTTCCCAGGAGCACCACACTTTTTGTGGGCTTAGCTTTGCGGGGTGGGTGGGTGGTTGAGCTGATGGGCAGGCTCTGGGCCGGGGCCTTGGCCAGCTGCACTGCAGCCCGGGGGCTGGCTTCCCAGGGAAGCACAAGGGCTCTGGTGGGACCAGGGCATTGTTAGGTCAGACTCTGTCCAGTGGCTCAGGAGCCTGATTCTCTCAACCAAACTCAAGGGTACAGGGCTGGCCCAGCCTGCAGTGAGGTGCATGGACAACTGGCTTAGATGACGATCCCAGAGAGCTGTAATCAATTCTTACTGCTCAGAAACAGGCCATCCACTTGAAGAGATCTTCCTGGGGCACAGAATAATAGGTCTTCCAAGAAAACCCTTGGAAGCCATGAAAAGCATTTTTTTACCAACAGCTCCACAGAACAGTAGAGGAGACAATTTAAGGATATGTATATACCACAGTCCCTATCATGATGGCAGCACAATGTGGCCCATACATTTAAATTAGCTAGCAGTAGCACCCTGCCACAGCAGCATAGGAGTCACTGCAGGCTGCAAAACCCCCTCATGAGGCAGAGTAAATACACAACGGAGCTGCATGTAAGACTCCTACTGACACCTGTATGAACAAGTTTAAAGCTAGTCCACATGCCACTGGAGCCACAATAGAATCACAGCCTAGACTCACTCTGTGAATACTCTGAGTAGCCTCTAGCCCTTGCATCCTTGGTGTGCTGACATAATAACAGAGGATCACCCAATCAAAATCCCATATAGGCCATGTGTAGACAAAACAAGAGGTGTGTGTGCACAACACTGTAAAAGCAGGCTAAATGCTTTTGCACCACTTGAATAGTGTTGGTGTTTGCACATCTCGGCGGCATATTGCACATTAATTCCAGCTGCTGTAGCAAATTTGGTGGCATAATGTGCCTTAAATGACTTGGGGCGCAGCAAACTAGAACTCCTTTGAGAGTTTTAGTTTGCTGCCCCTACAGCCACGGAGCGAAGCACCAGGCTCTGTGGAGCTCCACAGCTCTGTAAGCAGCCCTGCAGGCAGCCTGACAGCAGCCTGGAAAAGCAGACTCTGACCAAGAAAAGCAGTGAGCCTAATCTCCCCTCCGCTCCTCCCCCCAGAGCCTACCTGCCTGCCTGAGCCATGTTGGGGCCCAGTGCCTCCTTCTGCAAGTTGGGGCCCCCTGGGACCGCCTGAGCCAGGTGCCCGCCACTGCCAGGGAGGGAAGCACCAGCCTCCTGATGCAGGTCAGGGACCACTCCGCCCAGTGGCAGCTCGCCCTTCCCTCCCCGCCAGAGTGGCAGGTAAGTCTGCAGGATGTGTGCACAACCCAGGGGTTTAATTAGCCCTAAATTGAAGCAGTGCTTTTTTAAAACCCACTGCTTCAATTTAGGGCCCCTGTTTTGTCTACACACACCCATAATGGCCAAATCCTCCAGGAACAATGACACAGAGTTTGCTTCTGCAGCAAACAAGCACCATGGACCTTCCATCTGGGCTTGGAAATTAATTTCCCATTCTACAGAACAGCACCATCCTGCTGCAGGTAAATGTCGTGCATGTGCATAAAAAAGAATACAGCCCACATTCTGATTTCAAGAAAAGTGTATGCTTGCATCCATTTAATAAATAAAGGGAGGTAAAAAATCGTATTTTCTTTTACAAGTACTCCACCTGTCAAGTACTGGACCTGTTCAGTGCAGAAAGTGTACAAGAAACATACCCAGGGTTGCGCTGGTGTTTCCTCGAAATTCATTCTTACAAAGTCTCATAAGGAAACTGGATTTTCCTACTGCTGCATCTCCAGCAAGAACTATCTTGTAAGCCTTCTCAGACTTGGGGTATTTCAGGTTACAATCTGTTGCATCTGACTAAAAACAAAATGAACACACCAAACTTCATATTATTAAGAGTAAGGAGCGAAAAAAATCTTAGCATATATTTCTGAATATCAAGTTAAGAAATTATCTGGGCTGGTTACCTGAGGGGAGAGGGCAGAAATACATTTCCTTGTTGATGCAACAGAACTGCTCCGATTGTCTGGTAGTGAAGGTTTCCAGTTTAATACTGAACTGCCGTTGTCAGGACTATAAGCTTCTTCATCTCTAATCTCTGGTACCTGAAAGTTCGAGAAAATATTACACTTTTTGTTGCATTTAAATTTTTAAAAAAAATCTTTCTGGAAGTGAAGGCTATATTT